ATCTGTGGCCAAATCCTTAAAGAAGAAGGAATCCTACTCCAATAAGGAGTTGGAAATTCTCTTTGAGTTCTATTCAAACAAGGAGATAGCAAGTTTGTTTATTCCTTCCTAAGCTAGGAATCCTACTACATTAAGAAATAGTCAAGTCAATTCCTACTAGGAAGTGCTTGAATTGATCTGTTCGTTTTAATTTGTTTGGGTTGGTTCTTTTTTATTGCTTTTCTTGGTCGTTTCTTTGTGTCTTTCTGTTTCTTTTAACTCTTAGTTCAATAACGAACTGAAAGAAGGAAGTTGAGTGAGGGAAAAAGGCAAAAGGTGTGAGCAACACTTGAGAGAAAAGCCAAGTTCTACTGTGTGCAAAACACGAGCGTTGAGTGCCATTCTGTGAGAGAGTGGAGTGAAACACGTAAGGGGGTGTTGTGAGGTCCTTTTATTCTTCTGTTTCTAACATTCATTGCAGGTTTCAATCATGTCAAGCGGTGATGACAAATCAACCACTAGAAGCCACCATGTGGATGAATCCTTCATGCTCAAAGCAATGCAACAATAATTTCAGAGGCTGGACATCATGTTTGGTGAGATTAAAGACAAAATGGAGAAGCAAGATGCAACGATAACCAAGTTATACCAAACACAGAATGGAAGTCCGAATTTGTGTAGGAATGATGCTAATGATGATTTCAATGATGATTATAAAGATACATTCAACAATGACGCCCAGAACTCAAATTTCAGCGTGGACAGAATTATGAGAGGTAGCAGGGGCCAAAGAGAGCAAAATCTGGCAAGGTGGGGAGATTGGCAAGATCGTGACTTAGGTAGCATCAAGATGAAGATTCCTCCATTTCAAGGCAAGAATGATCCAGATGTGTATTTGGAGTGGGAAAAGAAGGTGGAATTGGTGTTTGATTGCCATAACTATCCTGAGGAGAAAAAGGTGAAACTAGCAGCGATGGAATTTACTGATTATGCTGTGGTATGGTGGGATCAGCTTGTGCTTATTCGACATAGAAATCGAGAGCATCCTATTGACACTTGGGAAGAGATGAAGGCTGTGATGAGAAAACGGTTTGTTCCTAGTCACTACTACCGCGATCTCTATCAACGATTTCAAGGCCTTACTCAAATGTCCAGAAGCGTTGAGGATTATCACAAGGAGATGGAAATAGCAATGGTTAGAGCAAATGACGAAGAGGATAGAAAAGGAACAATGGCACGGTTTTTGCATGGTTTAAATCGTGATATAGCTAATGTGGTGGAACTGCAGCATTGTGTTGAATTAGAGGATATGGCGCACATGGCAATGAAAGTAGAAAGGCAACTCAAGCGTAAAGTTGCCACCACCAGAACTGGGAAAAATCTAGGTTCCTCATTTTCTAGGAAACCAAATTGGAGCAAAAAGGAAGAAAATTCTGCTTTCAAGCCTAAAACTTCAGCATCTAAGTCAAAAGACGTTGGCAGCAGTGAGAAGAGTAAAACTGACAGTATGCAAGGCAGAAACTGAGACATTTAGTGTTTTCAATGCTTGGTAAGAGGGCATATTGCATCGCAATGCCCTAATAAGCACACAATGATCTTGAGAGAAGATGGAGAAATTGAAACCGAGGGTGAGTCTGATGATGAATATATGCCACCATTAGAAGATGCTAATGATGGTGTGGAATATGCTGTTGATGGAGAACTGCTCATCACCAGGCAAGCTTTGAATGTGCAAGCCAAAGAAGATGATGAAGTACAACATGACAATATATTTCACATGAGGTGCCATGTCAAAAACAAGGTATGTAGTGTGATTATTGATGGTGGTAGTTGTACTAATGTAGCTAGCACTGCTTTAGTTGAAAAGCTTAATTACGAAGCATCCAATGCCATATAAGGTGCAATGGTTAAACGATTGTGGAGAAATCAAGGTAAATAAGCAAGTTCTTGTTTCATTCTCTATTGGACGATATAAGGATGAGGTACTTTGTGACGTGTTTCCTATGCATGCTGGACATTGACTTTTAGGGAGACCATGGCAATATGATAGCAGGGTAACACATGATGGCTTCAAAAATCTTTATACGTTCATCATGGAAGGGAAAACAATTACTCTTGTGCTGTTGAGTCCAAGGTAGGTTTATGAGGATCAACTGAGACTGAAAAAAGAGAGTAAGCTGAGAAAAGAGAGTGAGCTTGAGGGTATGAAAAACAGAGAGAAAACAGCAGAGGAAGAGTTAAAAAAGAGAGAAAGATCGAGAGTGTTGAAAACAAAGAGAGAAAATCAGTGAGTGTTTATGCAAAAGAAAGTGATGTCACGGCTGCGTTCTTTGCAAAGCAGCGTATGTTTGTGCTTCTGTATAAAGATGCTTATTTCAACATTAACGAACTTAATAATTCTTTGCCTAGTGCTGTTAAATCTCTTTTGCAGAACTTCAAGGATGTGTTTCTAGATGACGTTCCTAATGGTTTACCACCAATAAGAGGAATCGAGCATCAAATTGACTTCATTCCTGGTGCAACGATTCCAAATCGACCAGCATATTGAAGCAATCCCAATGAGACAAAAGAGCTTCAAAGGCAGGTCGAAGAACTCATGAAAAAGGGACATGTGAGAGAAAGCATGACTCCATGTGCAGTTTCAGTGCTACTTGTGCCTAAGAAGGATGGGACTTGGCGTATGTGCGTTGATTGTCGCGCAGTCAACAAAATCACTATCGTCTTTTTAGGATATTTTGTTTCAACTGATGGACAAACAAAAGTGGTTAATAGGGTGTTGTCAACCTTATTGCGATCTATTATTCAGAAGAACTTGAAGAATTGGGAAGAGTGTTTGCTGCACGTTGAATTTGCTTATAACCGGAGCATCCATTCAGCAACTAACTGTTCATCATTTGAGGTTGCGTATGGTTTTAATCCACTCACTCCTTTAGATTTATTGCCATTACCTATTGATGAACAAGCTAGTTTGGATGAAAAAAAGAAAGCTGAAGTGGTTAAGCGACTACATGAGAGGGTGCGACAAAACATAGAGCGACGAACTGAGCAATATGCAAAACAAGCCAACAAAGGATGCAAGAAAGTTGTAATTGAACTTGGAGATTTGGTTTGGGCGCATATGCGCAAGGAGCGATTCCCTGCACAAAGGCGTTCTAAACTGCAACCAAGAGGCGATGGACCATTTCAACTGATTGCGAGGATTAATGACAACACATACAAGTTGGAGCTTCCTGGTGAGTATAATGTTAGTGCTACTTTTAATGTTTCTGATCTTTCTCCTTTTGATGTAGGTGACGATTTGAGGACAAATCCTTTTGAGGAGAGAGGGAATGATGGGAATCAAGACGACAGCATATCTACTACGTCATGTGATCCATTACGCACCCAAGGAGGTCCAGTCACACGAGCTAGAGCTAAGATGCGTGAAGCTTTAAATGGCCTTATAGAGCAGATCTGGGTTGAAAACAACATACAACAAGCAAATCGAAGCTTGGATGATTATCAAGGCATGGTAAACATCATTCAAGTTCAAAAGAAGCTTAGTTGAGGTCCTTTGCACGGAATTACACAATTTGCGTCAAAATTGCACAATTCTGCTGTAATTTGTAGCAAACTGATATTTCATGTTATTTTAGGTTATTTTTAGTGATTTTCATGTTTTGTATTATTTTTGGGGTGAACATTCGCTTATTTGAAGCCCAATTGGTGGTTATTAGGTTTAGGACTTAGCGTGTTAGTTTCCTATTCTGATTAGGATTTGTTTTCTCTATTTAAAAGGCTTGTAACCCTAATGGGGAGGAGGCCATTGAATTTGAGTTTTGAGAGACTTTTCTCTCTTTGGTTCGTTTCAGAACTTTACAGAACTTATCAAGATTATTCTTGTGGCGTTCTAAGCTGACTTATCATTCTCATTCTTAATCGTTTGAGGGTGTGGCATCAACCAACTTTATACCTCTGGTTCTTGTTGCGTCATAGACAACAGGTCAAGGTTTTTACTGATGGGAATCAAGACGACAGCATATCTACTATGTCATGTGATCCATCACACACCCAAGGAGGTCCAGTCACGCGAGCTAGAGCTAAGAAGATGCGTGAAACTTTAAATGGCCTTATTGAACAGATCTGGGTTGAAAACAACATACAACAAGCAAATTGAAGCTTGGATGATTATCAAGGCATGGTAAACATCATTCAGGTTCAAGAGAAACTTAGTTGAGGTCATTTGCACGGAATTACACAGTTTGCGTCAAAATCGCACAATTCTACCGCAATTTGTAGCAAACTGATATTCATGTTATTTTAGGTTATTTTTAGTGATTTTCATGTTTTGTATTATTTTTGGGCTGAACATTAGATTATTTGAAGCCCAATTCGTGGTTATTAGGTTTAGGACTTAGGGTGTTAGTTTCCTATTCTGATTAGGATTTGTTTTCTCTATAGGCTTGTAACTCTAATGGAGAGGTTGAATCTGAGATTTTGAGAGACTTTTCTCTTTGGTTCCTTTCAGAACTTTACAGAACTTATCAAGATTATTCTTGTGGTGTTCTAACCTAACTTATCATTCTTGTTCTCAATCGTTCGAGGGTGTGGCGTCAGCCAACTTTATACCATTGGCTCTTGTTGCGACATAAACAACGGGTCAAGGTCCTATTATAAATCTGATTTAGCTTTCCTGGAGTTTAGAAATCCCTTATCGTGCCGTGGATCTTATTGTTTTCTTTGGGGTTCTCATTATCTTGGAATCAGAGCATCAGATCCCTAAATCAGGTTTGCGTAC